TTATTTACGATATCTTAATAAGTTTAGTGGTTTTATTATGATTTACTTTCACCATATATTAGCTGGTTAACTCTATGGTCCATTAAGATTACTTTAAAGTGGTTCTAGAGTCCTTAGTAAAGTGCAAGCTCGTTAAAACCAGGAGGACCTTGATAGACTAGTACCAGATCTAGAGGCTCCTAAGAGGGGTTTCAAATTCAGGTTTCAGGTTGGGTTCGGGTCGAATCCGGGACTGACCTGGGTTCAAACTGGTTGTCTCGACCCTGACCTGGTTTTGCAAATGGGTTGAAAACACAAACACGAACCAGACCCGTAAGGATACTGGGTTGACTCGACCTGACACAGTTTTGTAAACTCGTGGCTCGCATCAATGGATGGACGGCGAGATGGTGGGGTTCTCGCCGACCAGTCGGCGCTCACTTGGTCATAGCGGTATGCAGGCCAGGCATGCTAGCGCGGACGTGGACGGGATGATAGGAATTCCACGAGGATAGGACTAGACTCTTATAGGCACTCGATGCGAACGATACTAGACACGAGTGGTTAGGGCACTCACATCAGGCGGGTGCACTCGACGCGTCTTGTTAGCGCGGACGGGATGGGACTCGTCATGGCATTTTTCTTGCGTTAACCCGGGTTGAGTTCGGGTTGCTAGGTCAACCCGAACCCAACCTAGTTTTTTAAAACAGATAAAATTTGGGAACTAGAATCGGACCCGTTTTGAAATTGAGTTGGGTCTAACCTAAAATTTTCGGGTCAAGTTCGAGTCAGATTTTTATATTGTGTCAAATATTTACACTCCTAGCTCCCAATGCTTAGCTTTGTAAGTTTAAATCTTAGTCATGGTTAATCTCTAGTTTCAATAGGTTCAGGTCGATAGGATCAGTCAAGGCTCAACTATACTTATTGGCCTTATTAACCTTAATTAGTCCATGGAAATTAATGATTGATAAGCTAGGGCTTAAAATTTGTTTTCCAATGTATTAAACGTGCTTGTAGATCTCTTAGAGCTTATATGTTTATGAAAATCATATTCAATTCATTATTGGTCATACCGAGTCAAGTATTTGTCATACTCAGTCGATTATGGGCCATACAAGTAGATTCATATGAGGCACATGTAACTTCCATATGAGATAACTATTTGAAGGAAAATTTTTCCTTCCCTCATTTTTTCTGTAATTCCATTCAATAAATAGGAATTGTTAAGAAATTTTGATTGAATCTAATATTAAAATAAAAGGTTAAGGGAAAAATAAAGCATTCGTTTCACTGGAAAATTTTGTTTCTTAAAAAAAAAATCATAAATTATGATTATAATTAACTTAATTGTCAGTCATAAAGAATATGATTAATAAATGCTTCTAAACTGGTACGTAATTAATGATAGTTAAAGATATAGGTGAAGTCATGTGATCCTTCATTTGGAACCGTTTTTTTAGTGCGTTTTAAATCAATTTTTTAGTATTAAAATTTCTAAC